AGGTTCGCAGCCTGATTCGTAACCACTACGCTACCAGAGCTTCTTTACATATATATATATAGAGAGAGAGAGAGAGAGTCAGAAAAATAGAGGAAGTCCCCCAGAGAGATGGATTGGCAAAGTGGCAGCATCAGTGGGCTCAAGCATGGCAACAATTGTGAGGCTGGCCCAGGATCAAGCAGTGTTTCGTTCTGCTGTGCATAGGGTTGCTATGAGTTGGTACTCACTCGATGGCACCTAACAACATATATACATATACCCTCACACATTTAACTTGCGTATGTTAGGTTATAAGCTCTGAATAAATATAGAGCAAACTCAACAGTTTTCCACAGGACAAGTTAAGATTTCAGTATGCCCTGGTAGCACAGTGGATTACGAATTGGGCTGCTGATCTTGAGGTTAGCAATATACCAACCGCTCTATGGGAGATGAGCCTTTCTGCTCCTGTAAAGATTTTACAGCCGACTCAGCACACAACCACCACCACCACCATCATGCATTTTGTAATGAAAAACTAGTTTCCTAAAAATGCTTAATTTGGGGTCCAATGAAAAAAATAAATTCTTAATTATGAAAATTATACTATCATTAGCACTTAAGATGGTTTCTGAGGCTAGCAAGCTTGGAATCAACTACAATAATCCAACATCAGGTATACAAGGTGCATTCAAGAAGTTCATGGAAAATTGGAATGAAAAGATAATGGAAATTTTCCATGAAATTTTTTGAAGCCTCTTTGTAATTTCCTCCACAGCATTGATTTTCTTGTATTATGTCCTGGTTCTTGAGAGTCTGGGTAGAAGACAGAGATATAAATGGTATGAATTTTATTCCAATTATGATCTTTCTTACACACACATTCAGAAATGTTGTCATTAAGTGCCTTTGAGTCAGTTCTGATTCACAGCGACCCTGTATAGGATCTTGCAGTTCACAGTCCAGTGCTGAGCCCACAGCTACACCAGGAGCCCTCCTAGTCTCGTGATTTTATGGTTGGAAAACAAAGGAAAAGAGGCTTATTTAAAGGTCTGGGAGAAGAACCTGAGCACGCTTACAGACGGTGCTGTACAAGCAAAGCCTTTGAATTTTTGAAACAAATGCTAAATAAAATTCAGCATATTTCCTTTGGGGAATTGCACAAAATTTGAAATATGTGAAAATTTTTGATTGTGTATTACTAACACATTACTAAATTACCTATCTCTTGGCACTTAGCATGTGGCTCGGTGGGATAAACACTGGACTGTGAACCATAAGATCACATGTTCAAGCCCACCATCAGCAGCTCCTGGGGAGACAGATGCGGCTTTATGCTCCTGTCAAGATTTATAACCTTGGAAATCCTGTCCAGGGTTGCTATGAGACAGAACCAATTGACAACATACACCTTCGCCAGGTAATGGCAGAATGCCAACAAGCTTAACAGGCATGGAAGTATTCCCAATATTTCACATGGAGTAACAAGAGTTTTAACTGTATGTAGGAATAGACTTATTGATAGCGAAATTGGCTTTGCAATTTCTCAAAAATTGATAATAAAACATTCGAGTTTCACCAAGACTGGGAACCTTAACTGTAAATCCAGCGTTCACATTTTATGGCAGTTTCTAACATTTCTAAAAAAAGGTTTTTGAAGACGTTCCTGGGTAACTTTTTATATGACTTATGCTTTGTATGCCAGTAAATAAAATTTCTGTGTGTCTTTTAAAAATTGCTTTGTTTGACTAGAAAATAGCCGAAATTTCTTGGACTTGTCAGACAGTGAACAAAATTTTACCGAAACAGAAAGCTTCAGAATTGATACATACAGGTACAGTGACTAATCATAATAAAGTCATGATATATTTATGATTCAAAATAAGTGCTATAATGTTGAACATATTTGAGTTGCATGCAATCAATTTTTCACCTTAATGCATTTAATCTTTACTTCATGGCCACTAATTACTTTCATATTGAAGTGATTTTTTATTAGTTTTCTTTAGGGAAATTTCATAGGCTAGAGGACTATTAAACTATGATTTTGAAAAGTTCATTATTAATTCTAGTAAAGGCCAAGGACACAGTTTAGAACCGAAACATGTAGTCCTAAGTGATTAATGAAGAACCAAATGTTTTTGTTTTAAAAGTTAAAGATCAAAGTATTTAAGACCTCCTAGGCATTCTTTTTTAATGAGTGCTTTATAGTTTGGGTCCTTTCCACTGCACTCTACCAATGTATTACACTGGTTTCCAAAAGTATCTGTGGAAAGTAATTTGAACAAAATGTATACTCACCCAGGGAAAGGAATCACACTATACACTTTTTAGGATATTTTATTAGGAAATGTATTAGTTACACCTAGGTGTCCCTGAGTGCAGCAATCAATAAAGCACTTGAGTACTAGTTAAAAGGTTAGCATTTCAAACCCACCCAGAGGAGCTTTAGAAGATGGCCTAGAGACCTATTTCTGGAAGATCATAGGTTGAAAATGCTATGGATCAGTTCTACTCAGCACACAGTTGGCATCATGCATAGGAATGAACTTGATGGCAACTAACAGCAACAACAAAGTTAAGCAAAAATAGCAATAGTTTAAAAACTCTTCTGCATAAAAACTGTTACTTAGCCATCTTTTCTGGTCAAACAAAAATGTTGCAAAATAAAAAGTTTCTGCCTTACTAAAGTCTCCTAGCAAAGGTTCATAAGCTCTGGTAGCAGTGGTTATGAGTCGGGCTGCTAACTTCAAGGTCAGCAGTTCGAAACTATCAGCTATTCCCGAAAGATGACACTTTGTTTCCATAAGGATTTACAGCCTCGGGAACCCTATGCAGGGTTGCTATGAGTTGGAAATGACTCCACGGCACATCATCACCACCACCACCACCAGCAGCAGCAAAGGTTCATGGAGTCCTGGTATGGCGCTGTATGATAAACACTGGACTGCAAGGTCAGTTTGAACTGAAGGGTCGGCAGTTCAAACTAACCAGCCGCTCCTCAGAAACCCTGTACAGGTTCAATATTTATCAGAACCAACTTGACAGCACTTAACAAAGTTGATTTAAAGAGTAAAGGCCTGGATATTATGAGGTATATGAAATCAGATATTCAGAGAAGAAACATCACTCTTAATATACTACCAATGATTTCATCTTTTCTCTAAGCTGATCAACAGCAGATCAATTGAATTTGTGTTTCAGGACATGTTATTAGTAATAGAGTTTTATGAAGAGCCAGATAAGATAAATCAAGGTAAGCATATTAAAAGTTAATGATGTATACACCCTACAAACCTGCCCCCTGGTCATCAGCACACAGCGCCTCTCCCACTCTGGGTCTAAAGTTCCCAGCCGCTCCATCTCTCCACGTCACCACCACCTCCATCTCTGGCGTCACTGCCTCTCCGGGTAGGGTCTTGCTATCTGCTCTTCTCCCTTGGTGGTCCCAGGGACCTCTGCTCCTAGACTGGAAAGTTAATCACGCCCCTCCTTTTGCCATAACACTTCTGCCTTTATATTCCCAACCCTCACAATCAGTCCTGATAACAATTACTCACCATTGCATCACAAGAGACCCATCTGCATCTCCTTTCATCAGCACCCCCACCGCGCCCCCAGGCAGATTGAACATTGTAGGGCTTAGCTCCCCAATCAAAGTGTGTATTCCCACTGAGTCTTAGTCTTAGGAGGAGGTTTGCCCTGAGGTGACCTGACCACTTGCCTTGATGGCTCCTGGGTGAGCAACTTGCTTGTTCTTGTAATAATCCGTTGGTCTGCCTATATTGTTTTGTATATTTTTCCTGTCGGTCTTTGTTTCAAGAAGTATCTTTTGATCTTCTAGCTGTTCCAGGTTGGACTGGTTGTCCTTTCAAGTGGAGATTTCCCACCTCAGAAGATTCTGGATGCATAGAGGGGACTGTAGCCATGGCAAGGAAATGATATATGATAGGATGAACATAAAGCTGATGTTCTCCCATGTAAACTATCACATAATTCACAATAAAACTTAAAAAAAAAAAAAGATATTTCTAGGATTTTGTTGCCATACTTTCTTGACTTATGCTGTATAATGTTACTGCATTATCACAGACATATAATTGATCATGGTTAATACTAATTTAAACATTTACAGACTACCATCTATCCCCAATATTAGTATATTAAATATATTAAATGAAAGTATCAGAGAACCTCGTATGTATAGCATCAAGTTACAAAGCAGCTTTATTTAAAGCCATTTTTGTTCTAACTTTGAACACTGGAACAAAAGTCAAATGTACAAAATATGACATGAAGCTAGTGTTGCTAATAATAAAAATATGTCCAATAGGTAATATTTTCTAATGTTTCTTTGTATGAAAACGTAGGTATGTGATAACTACCATATTAAGTTGTATATTTATCATTCTATAAACAAATGTCTTGGTAATTAAGTAGCATATTAAGACCATAAATCAAGCCATGACCTCTGTGTCAAAGGCTTATTATTCTCCAGTGACTGGGAAAGTTCATTTTTATGTGTGTGCTATGGCGTTGAGGTCAGTCTACAGAAACAGAACAGCTTAATAAAAAGTATTTTTTTTCTCTTGTCAGGTTTTCTATTATTGGAGAATTTGAGAATGGAAGTTCAATGAGGTAAGGGTTCAATAATTTTACATGTCATCAAATGAAAAAAATTCTTAAGGACACAATGGTGGCAATTATTTTACTGTTATAGTACAATCCTTAAATGAATTAAATGACTTTGTTTCACAGACAAACACTATAAAAATGTCTTTACAAACATATTTAGTCTTCGCTATCTGAGCAAATCAGTTTCAGTTTCTTCATAGTCCTCCATCTGTCCTTTAGCATGACGCTTGTTCGGTTGTTGAATTTATAATGTAACAGTATTTTAGTCCAGTTTCCCTCTCCGTATTTCCTCACACCACTTCTCAGGTTTTTGTCTTCTTCCCAAAGCCAGGCCTTTTGATAAAAAGTTGAGTAATTATTTATAGAAATAATTTCTTGAAGACTATACCAACTATAAATGCAACCATTTTAAGTAATTATTTTCAATGATGAATTCAAATACTGTTAAAATGACACTTTTACTCTTTTCAGAATGAATAAATTTCAGTATATACTTCTCAGATATACTTATCACTATGATTGACATTTTACATGTAAACACACTGTAGTTCCTTCTACATAGCTGCACATACTGGTAGCTGGTCTTAGGTTCAGTGTTCATAAAACTTACTGTCCACAAATGACTTTATCAGAAAATCTCAGAAACAATGGATAACACCAATGGTCAAACTCATGAGGTTAAGCTTCTCAAGAGTGGGATAAAATGTTAACTATTAATATAGAAAACTTTTCATTTTGGCACCAATGAATACATACATAAGAGTATATCTCTACATAGAACCCTTTAATAAACTCACTGAAAAGCCTGTTCTGCCTGTGGTAGGGGAAGTGCCCTGTGCATACAGCACATCAAACTGCAATTTGCTACAGGTGATCAAATAATTACTCCATGTACTGTCATACTAGAAGAGTGACAGAACCACTTGAGTAATTATTTAGTGTGACTACAGTAGGAGGAACTTGCCTGATTTTACATTTTCGTTAAGAAATCCGTTCTTTATGTGAAGAAAAGAGGTGACTTGAAGACGACAGAGATGTACTCTAAGGTTAAATCCCATAAAAACTGGCAGTAAGCTCAAATAAACTTTTGTAGAAGTTTGTTTAAGCTGCCACCTTATGTCTGATTCTATCGTTGTTGCTGTTCCCTCTGTTTTATGACTTGAACCCAACCTTTTCCCGACCGGTTTCTAATATTGAACCTGTGAACACCAGCAACTGTGCTATCTAAATGTGTATAGCTGCCCAATCTCTGACAGACTGACATCCTCCATTCCATTCTTCCTACAAAGCCTCACTAGTCTGACTGCCATTGTCTGTAACCTTTGTTGCTGCTGTTAATAAACCCATAGCAATCCTATATACGGTTTCCAAGAAGCAGCTGATGAGCTTTGGGGTCATATAAATCTTTGAGAATGTGGTGAAAGTAGAGTTTTCCATAGACATAAGTCACTGAAAAGTGCAGACATCTAAAACTTTACATATAATCTTAAGGTTTACAAGCCACAAAACCAAATACACTGCTGTCAGGTTGATTTCAACTCAAAGTGACTGTATAGGATAGAACAGAACTGCTCTATAAGGTACCCAAGATTGTAATCACACTACTCTCTGTATCTTTCAGTTAGCAGCTGAATGAATGCTTAACAACGGCGCCACCAGCACCACAGACTCACCTTAAAAAGCCTATGCTGGTATGAAGTCTAAGTTGTTATACTATTAAGTATGTGTTGTTATTCTATTAAGTATGTGTTGTTGTTAGATGCTGTCAAGTTGGTTACGATGCATGGCAACCTTATGCGCAAAACACTGCCAGGTCCTATGCTATCCTCAAAAGCAATGTTATGTTTGAGCCCATTGTTGCAATTACTGTGTCAATCCATCTTGTGACGTGACTTCCTGTCTTTTGCAGACCCACATATTCATCTTCACTGAAAGTGCATTCTACTTGTACTTCCAAGACAGAGCTGTTCATTTTTCTGGCAAAAATCCACGGCATAATTCCATATTCTATGCCAATAATTCAAAGGCATCAAGTGTTCTATGGTCTTCCTTAGTCACTGTCCAGCTTTCACATGCCTATGAGGAAGTTAAAAATACCATGGTTTGGGTCAGGCACATCTTAGTCCTCAAACTGACATCTTAGCATTTGATCACAAAAGAGATCTTGTGTAGCAATTTGCCTAATGTATGTCATTTGATTTCTTGACTGCTGCTTCCATGAGTGTTGATTGTAGATCCAAGCAAAATGAAGACTTTGGCAACAACTTCCATCTTTCTGCCATTTATCATAATGCTAGTACTTACTAGTCCAGTTGTAAGGATTTTTATTTTCTTCACACTGAGGTGCAATCCATACAGAAGGCTGTGATCTTCTGATCTTCATAGTATTTTACGTCCTCTTCGGTTTCAGCAAACAAAGCTGTATTATCTGTATGGTGAAACAATACACCCTGGCATTCACCTTTCGTAATTTTAAACCATTCAGCATTCCCTTGTTCTGTCTGATTCACTGCCTCTTGGTCTATATACAATTTCCTTATGAGCACAGTTAAGTGTTCTGGAATGCCCATTCCTCGTAATGTTATCCAAAGCTTGTTAATGATACACAGTGAAAAAGTATTTGTATAATCAGTAAAGGACAAGTAAACATCTTTTGGGTATTCTCTTCTTTTAGCTAAGATCCTTCTGACATCGGCAATGATATTTCTAGTTCCACATCCTCTTCTGAATCTGATCTGAATGTCCATGGGACTTTTAATACTCTCCTCCAACACCATAACTCAAATGCAACAATTCAATGGTCTTCCTTATTCACTGTACAGCTGTCACATGAATATGAGATTATTGGAAATACCATGGCTTTGGTAGGGCACACTTTAGTCCTCAAACTCTGACATCTTTGCTCTTAAATATTTTAAATAGGTCTTCGACAGCAGATAATACAACATGTCATTTAATTTTTTGATCGCTGCTTCCATGAGTGTTGATGTTTGAATTGAGCACCATGAAGTCTTTGGTTACTTCGATTTTCTCTCCATTGATAGGATGTTGTTCATTGGTCCACTGGTGAGGATTTCTGTTTTCTATATATTGAGGTGCAACCCATACTGAAGGCTGTGGTCCTTGGTCTTTATAAGTAGGCACTGTAAGTCCTCGTTGATTTCAGCCAGCATGGCTGTATCATCTGCACATCACAGGTTGTTTAAGAGCCTTACTCTAATCCTGATGCCATGTTTTTCTTCATATAATCCAACTTTTCAGATTTGTTCAACATACACATTGAATAACTATGGCAAAAGAAAGCAACTCTGGTGCACATCTAATTTTAAACCATTCGATGTCCCCTTGTTCTGTTTGAACTGCCTCTTGGTCTATGGACAGGTTCATTCATCATGGCCACAATTAAGTGCTGCAGAATACTCATTCTTTGAAATGTTGTCCATACCTTCTCATGATCCACACAATTGAAAGCCTTTGCATAGTCAATAACGCACAGGTAAACATCTTTCTAGTGTTCTCTGTATTCAGCCATTATCCATCTGACATCATCAATGATACCCTTCATTGTGCATCCTCTTCTGAATCCAGCTATGTTGTTGTTGTTAGGTGCCATCGACTCGGTAATGACCCATAATGAACTTATGCACAGCAGAAGGAAACAGCCTGATTCTGAGAAAACCTCACTACTGTTGCCTCGCTTGAGTCCATCGATGCTGCCACTTGGCCAGTCCACCATCTTGTTGGGGGTCTTCCTCTTTCTCTCTGACCCTCCAACGTACCAAACATGATATCCTTCTCCAGAGAATGGTCATTCCTGACAATATGTCCGAAGTATAACAGGCGAAGTTTGGCCACCTTGGCCTCCAAGGAGCACTCTAGGTGCAATTCTTCCAAATTGGCAGCCCATGGCACCTTCAATACTCTTCATCCAACACCATAACTCAAAAGCATCAATTCTTACACAGTCTTCCTTATTCATCGTCCAGCTTTCGCACACATATGAGGTTATTGAAAATACCATGGCCTGGGTAAGGCGCACCTGAGTCCTCAAGTTGACATCTTTGCTCTTTAACACTTCAAAAAGATCTTGTGCAGCAGATCTGCCTAATGTGAGTGTTCATATTTGATCCAAGAAGAATGAAGTCCTTGACAACTTCAATCTTTTCTCCGTTGATAAGAATGTTGTTTATTGGTCCAGTGGTGAGGATTTTTGTTTTCTATACATTGAGATGTACTCCATACCAAAGGCTGTGCTCTTTGATCTTCACTTTCAGCAAGCAAGGCTGTGTCAGATGCAAATCGCAGGTTAATGATTCTTCCTCTAATCCTGTTGCCACTTTTTTCTTCATATAACCCAGCTTTGTGGATTAATAACTCAGCATACAGGTTAAATAAGTATAGTGAAAGAATACAACTTTGTCACACAGCTTTTTAAATTTTAAAACATTCAGAGTTACCATGTTCTGTTCAAACAACTGCTTCTTGGTCCAGGTACATATTCCTCATGAGCACAATGAAGTGTTCCAGAATGCTCATACTTCACAATGTTGTCCATTCAGTGTAATTATCAACAGGTATTGATTATATGTTTGTTTTTCTGTGGTGTTGCTGCTTTCTTTGTTCCGTGTCTTCCTTTGTTGAGTTCATGCTTTTTGTGTTCTTTCTGGTGAGTTTCCTCATAGTTTTAATGTTTCCATGTATTTCTTGGTATGTTGTGAAGTCTTCATTTTCTTTGGGGTTGCCTTATTAACTTTTCTCTCCATTTAGTGCAGTCTACTTTATCAATCAAACTGACCTTCTCACTATCTGGATCTCTGTTCCTACGTGTTTACCTTCTTTAACATTGTACTTGTTTTGATCGCAGATTGTCTGTTCTTGTTGGTTCTCAGCCCACAGAACTCCCTTTAGGATGTTTTGTAGCACAGGGTTGGCTTTGGCAAAATCCCTTAGCTTCTGTTTATCCTGGAATGTTTTGAATATAACTTCATATTTAATAGCTTTGCTGCATAAAGGATTCTTGGTTGGCAATTTTTTTCTTTCAGGGTTTTATATATGTCTCCCCATTGCCTTCTTGCTTGCATGGTTTCTGCTAAAAGATCCGAGCTTAATCTGACTTGCTTGCCTTTGTATGTGACAGTTTCTGTTTTCCCTGGCTACTTTCAGAAGTGTCTCCTTACCTTTGATTTTGGAGAACTTGACTATGATATGTCTTGGTGATTTTCTTTTGGGGTCTATCCTTCCTGGGGTTCGTTGAGCTTCATGAATGTTATCATTTCACTTTTCAGGATGATAGAGAAATTTTCTTCCAGCATTTCCTCTGTGGACTTGTCTCT